TCTTTATCTCGGTCAACGAATTATCTCTCTCTCTCTCTCTCTCTCTGGAAAACGCTTTTCAGCCGAGCACTTTTGCATCTAACGATTCACCATCTATATTTCTCCGCCACGTTCGTCGTTTTGGAATCTGCTGGTATAAGCTGACAGTTGCAAGAACAATTAATATTATAATGTCGATAAAGAGCCGTAAGGAACAAATAAAACAAAATAGATAAAATTAATTAAACAAATAGATGAAATAGATTAAATTAATCTGAAGCTCCTGAATAAACTAAATAATGTCGATAAAAGGCCGTAAGGAGCTAAAGCACAGAACTTACAATGCCAGAAATAAAACAAAACGCAAACAGGTCTATAAAATATAATTTAATTTAATCTATTAATTAAGTTAATAATTAAAAATACAACTTTTATGAACTTGTTTTCGTTTTGTTTTATACCACGGCACTACAAGTTCTGCATCTTGGATCTTTATGACCTTTCATCGTCATTATTTAGTTCATTCAGGAGCTTTTGCTTAATTTCATTAATTTGATCTATAAAACACTCCTTATATACGCGAAACGTCGTACGGCAGCGTTCAACTTGCGCGAGAACGATGAAAACATACGGGAAAAAGGTCAATGCCGAATCCAAATGCAAATTCAATGCTGACGTCGTACGATGATGTCACAGCACAATGATTAATGGGCGAAACTAATAAGTTGCAGCGACTCGCGGAGTCTCTGAGAAGATTAACAGGATATGCTTTCGATCATAGGCAGCGGGTAATTGTCGGCCCTTTTCGCGGAGCGTTGCACCTTCGCTTATCATTCCACGGGGATACGGGCTGATTTTTGTTACCTCACGATAACTCCGTGCAACGTCGCAAGGTTAAATTCGCCGGCGATACGCGGCAATACGTCTCGTTGTTCCCCATGCCGGTTATGATCGTTCGCGTGTCTTCCCCCGTTTACGTTCAACGGCCACTTTTACCTTCCGCTTCTTCACGTCAGGCTAGTTACTTGCGTTTATGGCTGTACTCAGATATTCGTGGTGCGCTATACAACTCGTATGTTCGGAGCTTTATTCATAAAAGTCACCGGCTGAGAGACTTCGTCGTTTGGTCCCTATCTCGCGGGATTTTCAAGCGTTACAGGGCACTTTTATTCCGATATTCTTGAATCACGATCACAGGTATATCTGTGACATCAACTTTCTCGATATACGTACTTGTAATTACGTTTCTTATTGCAATTTCCAACTTCCCAGCGGAGAGCTGATTCAATTCGGCGTACCTACTTTTTTCCTGGAAGCGTACATCAACCAATTTTCAACTACAAATCCGGCGTTTCAGCAGTTTTTCTTTCTTCATTTTGAATCACGAAAGTGAAAAATCGAATTTTCGTATCGACTGAGGACGCGAATCAAATATCAATCCTTTTTATTTCCACCGTTGCGTCTTCCTATCGTCCACGTGTCTTTTATCTCTTAATAGCGATTTAGTTAAATCTGTAACAACCGTGACACGCAACGCATGTCGTTGCCGTACTGTTAAATTGGACAATCTAGTCGAGCACCTTTGGCTGTTCACCAGTAGAATATTCGCACTTGTAAAACGTCATTAGTAACTATTGCCGGTTGATTGCTATAATCATGTCGTCGGCACGTAATATCTATACGGCACGTAGAACGTGCGGTAATAATAATTTATAATTGAAGGTTTCCATCATTGCACGCACCGTAGAATTATATCAAAGTAAGCACAGCTGTAAGGCATATCGTATTTCGAATTCGTCATGTATTATTCACGGTATTTCAATGTCCGGGCTCTTCTTGATATGCGGGTGTACGCAAGTATGCGTTTCGTGCAAATCGACGGAATGCTTTTGGGGGAACAAGTTAAAAAATAAATAATAAATTGTTTTATGTACATAATACATACAAAGTAACGGTAATTAATTTTCCAGCCTATAATAGGATACGTTTAAACTTTCTATAATAATAAACGGTCAAACTTTTCGGGAAATAACGTCAAGTATTCTGTAAGTATTTATACGCGGTAAATTATTGCTGCAACCGATATCTCTCTAAAATTATTCGCGTAATTAAAATTTCAGCGTACAATTGACAATATACGATAACGCAATCGATGTGAAATTGAACGGCGAAGGAGGGCAGGGGGGAAGGTACTCCCGAACGCGCCTCGTTTTTCGTACGAAGTACACGCATTCTTCCGGCGTGTCCTCAATACTTTTCCTCGTCGCTTTAATCACTCGCAACGTCGTAATACAGTGCGTCTCCAGTAGTGAAAGACGCATAAGGGTAGCCTTGGTCGCCACATTGTCTGACACGCTGCGACATTCATTCACTACGTAGCGACGCATTGATGTCAATCGCTTCGTTTATGCGCTGCAGGCGCGCACAAACAGCCGTTGGTCACATGTTTACGCAACAGGTTTAGGGGGAACCTATTGTCCAAGCGGAAAAAGATACGGGTTGACGTATACCATAAGAGTACACGAAAGAAATCGATATGGATTCGCAAGCGACTGCAAACAGTATGGCCGAGCCTGCTTCGGGCCACGGAGAGACTACGGTAAGCAACAAGCGATAGATAGAAGAGAAGTTCTGTCATAGCTCGACGCTCATATTCTTCATCATGCGCGATACGTCTTTATCCGTGCGATACGTCATTCCAGCGAGTTCGAACGTTCGAACAACGTTCGATCGCGTTCGCGTCGGGAAAATAAAGTAGTCGCTGCGAGACGACCCTCTCGAAGTGAAACGGAGGAAGTGGGATGATACGCCAGCGATTCGTGGCTCGATCCCATAACGAGCCCCGAAAGTAAAACGGTGGCAGGCACGGTAGAAACGGCAGGACGAGACGTCACCGACCCGCATTATCAAAAGATCGATAAACTCAGGGTCACTATCGCGAATTTCGGTTCCCGTCAGCCTCTTCTGCGCTCGCTTCTTCCGCGGTTCCTACCGTGGAACATCGTACGCCATGCAGATATATCGCGCGTACGAATCGTGTGTGTGGGTTAGCTCTCTCTCGTAACGCGAAATTACGTGCCGCGGATTAACTAAATCGAGTCGGAAACGCGACGGTGATGATAGCGAGCGCTCGTTCGTCATGTTCATGTTGCGTCGCTCGAAACGTGAGGGCGAGAAGGTCGACGAAGAGATGGGGTCTCGTGACTTTACGCCCGAGATGACGGCCGGAATTACGCAGACACCCGAGACGAAATTTTAGGCTTATGTCTTCGGTTCTACAACGAAATAAGTAGAGGGCAAGGTAGTTTCGAAATTTCACTTCTGATAATATAATTTTCTACTATTTTGGCCCTGGTGGATGATGTCCTGGATTTTCGTTTCTACTGTTTTGGCATCAAAATCAGGGGTTTGAAACATTTATTTGTATCTGTTAAAAGAAATTTGTATAATTTGTATAAGTAGACGTTTACTCGTATCTATTAAGAGAAATATGACGAGTATTAAATTCAAAATATTGAAAATAGCGGAGTGTTTATTCGTAGAAAATATTTTTAGGACAGAAAGATCGAAATTTAAAGCCACTAGGTTTCTTCAATGGAAAAAAAAACATTACATAATTCTAATAAATAATCTCTTAAATATTTAGAACCGTTTTACTCTTAGATTTAGTATTGTACCACACAGCATATTTTATCCGCGGAATGTTTTATAGACTTTCCTAGGAACGTTCTCTGAACGTCTTTAGAACGTCCCTTGGAGGTCTGTACTGCCCAGGGCATTTACAAATTAAGATATTACTGCGTTCGAGTAAGTTTACTATAAGTTATTAAAATATACTTAAATTAATAAAACTTGATTTATGAAAGGCTGAAAAACGAATGATTACGTTTATTTGATTTTAGCATTTGCATAGAAGTTTTTATCAGTCATGTAAGTAGGCACATACTATCCTCGAAATCCGTCAAAATAACATCCAAATTTCGACTCGGGAATGACTGCAGATAATGCGACCTGCAATTTGAATCGCGGTGCGACGAAAAGATCGATGGGGTTAAGGTCAGGGTTAATATTGTCGATCGCGCAATTTGCCAGTTGCGCCGATGGCCTTCGGTTTCGTTTGCGCTCATGCACCAATGTCGCGTCGATATTAGGAATCGGATTGTAATCACGAGCATTCCCCGGTGCCAAAGAATGGTGATAATGTGTCCGAGTACACGTCGAATTGAAGCGTCATGACTCACGTGGCTAAACTGAGCCGATCTAACCGGCGAACGCGCAACGATACGATTGTCAACGTGATGGAACATTAAAGTCGAGAGGTCGAAATTACACTCTCGTCAACTTGATGATTCTGTTTATCTTTAGGCGGACGAAAATTGTTTCGGCGAATCGCAAATTCCGACCTTAGGGACACCACAGGAACGACGATCTCGACGGTCGTTCGTGACGGCGGGAATGCGCGGTCATTAGCATAAAACGCTGTTTTCCATGCTCACTGCGTTGAAAATTGGTTCCGCCAAAATTGTCGGCGGAATTGAAATTTCGTTGTGTCTCGAAAATCGCGGGGCTGCGAAGAGCGCCGCGAACATATTACGCGAAAACGACGATACTTGACGAGGAAGGATGATCCCGCGCCTTATCATAAACTCATGCGCGTATCTGATAACCTGTCATCCCTCCTTGAACGGAATAACAAAACAGACTTGTTATAGTTTGAAAGACTCGGAAGAGACTATTTTTCTTTTCAATTTCCCCGCAGTTCCCTCAGTTTCTTTCCGCGGACAGATGAAAGAAAATGGGAAAAAAAGCGCTTTTGTTCTTCCGATTTTTCGTGGATTTGTCGGTTTCTCTCCGAGGAAAAATTGTAAAAAAAGTAATTTGCAGTTCTGAAATGTCGCAAAAGAATAGATACGATGTAAAACGAGCGTGACGTAAGACGTACTTGTAAGTTTATCCGAGTTTATTTTCAAGACGCAATTTGCCGTGTCGTAGTATACGCAACACGAGCTGTTCTTCCGCAGGTGAAGCCAAACACCCCTTTACCACCGCAAGGCTTTCAGGCGCGATCGCCAGGTCCGCCCCTCTCTCCCAGAAATTCGATAAATAACGGTCCCATAGGCGCGCCACGACCGGGACCACAGCCGTTGCGCCGACTGGACAGTCGTTCCTCCCTGGGCCCACCAGCCTCGGGCCAATTCGTCCAGCTCAGACCTTACGGACCGCCGCGGCCGCCGGGAGGATCTTTCCCTCCAAGGCCACCGCAGCCCGGTCAGCTGCCCCCGCAGAATCAGCGTTTCGCGTACTCCCCAGGTATCCGAGGCCCCCCCCCGCCGTCCGGTCAGAGATCGCCGTTCGTCGGTAACTATCAACAAGCACGAGGCAACGAGCCGCGGTTCCAGCGACCAGCGCCGGACATCGCGGCCCAAAACGGGCCACCGCGTAACGCGGAGGCCGCGCCTCACCGACCCGGCCAGGACACCGCTTTTCCCAGGCAGCTGCTGAGAAATGACTCGGCGCTGAGCCTGCAGCGGCAGCACCTTTCGTCCAACGAGGAGATCAAGCAGCCGACGCGACCGCGCATAGTCGTCGAGAGGATGGCGGACATAAACGAAACGACCGGCGGCGACGACAAGCCCGAGGCTTACCTGCAGGGGAAAAAGTTGGACGTCCGCGAGAATGTCGAGAACGACGACGACGATGACGTAGTGATGGACAACCAGAAGTCGCCGCGGCACGACGCCAACAGTATCTCTCCTGAGGTGCTGGTGAACGGCTCCAAGTCGCCGTCGACGCCCAGGAAGCACGATGACGCCGTTAAAGCCGCGAGCCGGCCGGGAACTGCCGAGAAGCAGGACGTGCCGTCGAAGCCGATCTCGGCGAACAGCGGCGACAAAGTGTCGAGAGACTCCACCGAGGACGCGATCGTTTCTCAGAGCAGACCTTCCTCCGCGGTAAGTGGCGGCAAGGACGAAGGACCGACGGGGGATTCCGCGAAGAGCGACTCGAGCGACAAGTCATCTCGTCCGCCGAGCGCGATGTCGATACCCCACGAGGAGGAAGTGAAACAGCCGCCTGGTAGCCCGTACGGCAGCGACGAGCAGAACCTGAGGACTCCCTCGAGGACGTCGGACAACTCGCGGTCCAGCACCCCGTCGCAGCTGGCTGCCAAGCCGAGCACTCCGGCCGGGCTGGTGGAGCCGGAATCGAGAACGCTGCTCAAGACTCCGGATAAATCGCGCTCGAGCACTCCGGCCGGACTGGAGCCGCCCCAGAGTGCGGGGCAGGAGTCGAGGACGCCGGAGAAATCGCGCTCGAGCACTCCGGCCGGACTGGAGCCGCCCCAGAGTGCGGGGCAGGAGTCGAGGACGCCGGAGAAATCGCGCTCGAGCACTCCGGCCGGACTGGAGCCGCCCCAGAGTGCGGGGCAGGAGTCGAGGACGCCGGAGAAATCGCGCTCGAGCACTCCGGCCGGACTGGAGCCGCCCCAGAGTGCGGAGCAGGAGTCGAGGACGCCGGAGAAGTCGAGCATCCCGGCTAACCTGACGCCGTCTCCGCAACCGGAACCGGTGGTATCTCCGGCGAAAACACCGGAGAAGCCGGCGGACTCCGCAGCGGAGCCGAGTAGCGACGAAACCGCCGCGGAACCCGGAAAGCTCTTCGAGAACTCGCACCGTGACAAGTCCGGCGAGGATACTCTGCAAGTGAAGGAGTCCAGCAGGCCGGCGTCGTCCTTGGACTCGCCCGACATGGCGGTCGAGAGGGACAGCAAGTCGCCCTCGACGCCGGAGAGCCAGGGCAAACTGTCGGCGCTGACCCCGCCCAGGTCGCCCGAGGAAACCGTGAAGGGCTTCGACAACGGCCGGCAACGGTCTTTGTCCTCGAGGATGTCTCCCGGCGCCAGCCCTCGCTCACCGAACTCCCCGAAGTCGCCCGGCGGCAGCGCGAAGGAGGGTGAGAAGAAGCGGACCTCCTTCGCCGAGGACACCGTCGCCGACGAGAAGGCGGCGGAGGCAGCGGGGAAAACACCGACGTCTCCGTCGAAGCCTTCCGCGGGGAAGACTCGACGAGCGACCACGCCGGCGAAGCTGAGCGACGAGAAAGCGGAGCCGAAGTCCTCGGAGAAAAAAGGTCCTCGCGCGCTCGCCGGACGATGATTCGGGAGCCCTGCGAATCGAGCGACGAGAACCGATTCGTTATCGAATATAATCTAGCCCGAACTGCTTCGTACTCTTTCGAATCGAACCAGTCAGAGAATGTCACTGATTGAATCAGTAAAACAATGTTTCGCCGATAATCAGTGGATGTTCGCTAATTTTTAGCCCACAGAAAAAAAATGTTAAATTCAAGTAAACACATCACCCCAATATTCCTTAGCAAATTTTTACTCGATTACGTAATATTTACTTATGATCCAAGTAAAATATTTATTTGATTCAAGTAAATTTATTTAACGCAAGCAAAACTTTGTTGGCGAATATTGGAGTAATTATTCACTTCTATCTCGCACTTTTTCTTCCACGTGAAAAAATTTTTCTCGCTTCCTACGTCATAAAACAAGATGGCGAAAATCCTTAAGACGCGAGAAATTTTTTATTTGGAAACTTTTCGCACAAGTACTATTTTCTTTCCAAAACTTACCTTAGAATCTTAGAGAAGAATTATAAAAACATATTTTTCCTACGTGTAGGTTTTAGAAACACACGATCGTGACGGTTGGTTATATAATGAATATCACGTATAGATACGATGTCTCACCATCATGATGTAATAGTTGGGGCTTAAAGAAATATAGGTTGGGCTAGATTATATTTGATAATGTATCTCTCGGGCTGGATTGTGCACTACTGGACCTTAACTTGCAGGGTTCCAGTTGATTCGTTCGCGACGCGAACGTCAATTCGGTCGTCGGTTTCTCGAATAGCCGAAGGGGCTGTTCGGAGACGCCATTCTCAACTTTCAATCCGGCTAGCCGGATAATATGAGTTCAACGTAAATTTTACAGAAACTGTTTGTTCCTTTTTTCGATGCATATTTCAAATTTGTTCTCTCGTCTTCCCGAGGAAGACGCGAGAAATTGGGGCGCTTTAATATAATTCTGTTCGCAGAAGTTAGGTATCGCTGCGCGATATGTGTATTTCAATTTATATTCGAGACTATCGAGACTTTGCTTTGGTGCAATATGCTTTAGATATTTGCGCAACTGATCATTACGATATTCAACAATGTATTCTCCTTTTTTCACAGCGGTCCAAAACGGCAGTGCGAGCGAGTCGCAAGCTGATACGGTAAGTACACTCTACGTTACAGCCTTGACTTTCTACGTTTCGTACATATTAATATTAAGAATATAATGTTTTATCTGTTCGGCGAATCGAAACCACTTCAATGTAGGTACCGACTACAAATGGAGTCGCGGAATCGCCAACTAAAAAGTCCAAAGAATCCGACAAGAGATCGACCGCTGGGTCGCCTACGAAATCACCTAGCAAATCCGCTAAATCGGTACCACGAACTCCCGAAACACCTCCGTCGACTGCCCAAGAGAAAAAGAGTAAGTGTTTTTCTGTTTCACCGATGTCGTTGTACAGACTCGCGTATAGTAGGTCACACGGGAAGTTTACTTCGATTTTTCCGCCTTTTCCCGTGACTACTAGTTCTCGAGACGCACGAATGCAATAAATTTAACTCAAAAACCAAACTGAACTTTTTGAACGACCCACATTTTGCGTCAAATTTAACGTAATCGAGGATACAAATTTGATGAATATTGTCGTAAAATATTTCCAATTTGTTCCTCCGCTTTCGTAATTGCCAAGAATTAAATTGCATATCGGGAAAAAACCGGAATGTTGCACTGAGAGAAAAATATTTGTATAGTATCGTAACTATACAACATAGTAAAATAATTATAAAGAAGAGAACCATTTTTTTAACAAATATTACTACATGATAAAAAAATATTTTATACTTGTGTTAGTACCGGTCCTTGTTAAAAGTTTTGTGTTAAATTTTTAACATATCCGTATATTAATTTAACGTATTGTATTTATGTTATCTCAATAATTTTGTGTTGAATCGATATTGAATCGATCAACATACATAAGTGTTAAAATAACGTTTGTAAGTGTAAAAATAATATATTTTATATTTCAATGTCGATTAACATATTATGGGTATTAATTTTATGTTAATTTCTGACACATTTGTATTACTTTTCAACATATTCACCTTGTGTTAAATTAACACAAAAATTTGGATCATCTGGGACATGTGAAATATTTAAATATTTAATACAAAATTTCCTTATTATGTATAATGTCAATGATAATAACTTTACATGCACATTACTGTTTCTATGATTAAAACCAAAAAAAGGGTATAGTTGAAAATAACTATAGCCTGAAAATAACTATAATTTCTCTCAGTGCGGGACAATTTCTATTTCAAAAATCACATTACACTAACAATTGTTCAAACGAGCCTGTGTCTTTTGAACATACAGAGCTGCCGATGAATAAAATTCAAGTCGGCGCGGCGCCCTCCCCGAACTTGAAAACCGTACGGTCGAAGATCGGTTCTCTGGACAACGCGAGTTACAAGCCGGGCGGCGGCAAAGTGAAGATAGAGAACAGGAAGCTGGACTTCAGCAAAGCGCAACCGAAGATCGCCGCGAAGAACGAGAAATACACGCCCAGCGGGGGCGACAAAAAGGTTGATCCCTTTCGACCCCGGTATTGAATTTATCACCCTATTAACGATCATGTGTCACTCTCCACGATCGTGTGTTCTCTCGGAGAAGAGAGCACTTGCTGCATTCTCTTTTCCTTGACGCGTTCGCCAAATATTAGAGATAACAAGTCGAATTACAACCGTCGTCTTCGAACTTCGACCGTAGATCGCCCAGCAGAAGCTCCAGTGGAACGCCAAGTCCAAAGTAGGCTCCTTGGAAAACGCCACCTACAAACCGGGCGGCGGTGACAAGAAGATCGAGACTGTAAAGCTCGATTTCAAGGACAAGGCGAAACCAAAAGTCGGATCCAAAGACAACGCGAAGCACATGCCCGGCGGCGGAGCCGTCAAGGTAAGCGATCCAGCGAAAAGTAACTCGGTTACTTTTGCATATATATCTGCAACTCGTAGATCGTAAAACCGAGCGATTCTCGCTGTTGTCCGAAAAAAGAGTTCCTACTTTGTTGATTGATTTTGCTCACTCTCTTTTGATACCTTTTTGCCAATTAACGAAGTTTCCACTTGATCATTAGCCGTAGTTAACATACCAAATATATATCGTGTCTTTTCCTTCAGTTTTAACGGCGCTTTAATCAGCGACATTAGCATGAAAATATCACTTTCTTCTTTTTCTGCATCATGCCCGAACAACTAATCCCGAAGACACCCTAACAAACATTTTACATCTGTGCGATTACATTTTTATCGTTGGTATGTTGTTTAGTAATTATACTTGGACAGGGAAAAAGCAATACACGCAATTTTCTCTCTCTCTCTCTCTTTTCCTTTTTCTCTATTTTTACCGCTCTGGGAAGAGCATTATATAAATTTTCATCTCTTTATACAGATACCATTACCTCGTAACTCGCAGCTGGCTGATTCGACGGCAGAAGCTTAACTGCGTTTAGCATTTATTTCGCCGGTAGAACCCATTACGAGTGCAATGTTCGCTTCCCTCCATTATACATATATATATATATATATATATATGTATGTATCACAAAGTACCTCTGAAGTAATTTTACTCTCTCGGTAATGCGCTACTCTTCCGAATTTTATTGAACGGTTGCATGAGGAATGCTGGCGTAGACGTACAGTAGCGGTCCGGACGGAGTTGTTACTTCTAAATCGCAAGAATGACGATAAGCAGCGAAAGAGAACAGCAGTTTGAATTTCGGAACGGTTGCGGAAGGGGAAGTTAACGATTCCAAGTTGGATCGCGCAACTTGTAATGATTAATTTTAGCTCGCAATCGTCGGGATTTCGCGACGCCGAAGATTACCCAATTCCATTCCGTTGATCCATCAAATACACGGGAGGTGTGTTAATTTTTGTTGAAGTCCGAGTCCGAACAGAATGTGAAATGTACATTGCCGTATATGGGAGCCACGAAGCCCAATTGTGCAGCTAATTCGTTTACGCATGTGTCGTCTCTCGTCATTATTAACAAGCCATTGTTATTTCTTGGTGTTCAGTCCGCAACTCCACCTAAGACACCGCAGGAGGCGAAGAACGACGTAAGTACAGCTAACGAACTAGACTCTCAAAGTCGAGCCATAATCAGTGTGTCGCTTCTCTCTTTCCTCTTTTCATTCCTCACCTTTTTACCCTGGTTTGGTCTTCGTCGCCCGGCCGTCGTTGAAACGTCATGTAAAGTGCCGAAATCAATTTCTCGAATGCGGAATCGATATCGTGGAGGCGACAGGCGCGAATTGAGACCTCACGAAAGTGACGATTGCACATAACGTGTGCCCGCATCGATAAGTCCGTTCTGGAAATCGCTATTTATAATCAGCACCGACCGGTCTGCCTCCACGATTTACGAGATTGACGAAAAAGCGCTTATCGACACTTTGCAATCGGTAACGTTCTATATTTGGACGTAAGTACGTGAAATGTACACATTGGACGGAATCAGTTATCTCAGCATGGTTCTGCATGTCTCAAAATTTATATAGATTCTACACGTCAATCATTCCTCGAGCTGTTCACAGTTTCATTAACGAGCGAGTTATATGTTATTGCGCAGTGTACACGATAGATATTACATTCTGCTGCCGCTTATTCGAGATCACGTGACGAAAGAGACGAACGAAATTTCTCTTTTCAGCTCCCTTACTTCCGTTTTTTTCTCTGCTCGCTTATCAAGCAGCTTCTCGCTTGTCGATGGCTAATACAGCTCTCGTCGTTTCTCTTTCCAGATTCCGACGCAAAAAATAGATATCAAGGCCGAGAGCAAGATTGGCTCGTTGGATAATATGAAGCACAAGCCGGGCGGTGGTGACAAAAAGATCTTCAACGACAGAGACTATCTGCGACAGACGAGTTCTAACGTTGAGAGCTTGAATGGCAGCGGGTCCCAGGTATGTTCGCAACGTAAAAGTCTTGAGAATCTACCTCGCGTCTACCTCGTCGTTTCTCGATTGTGCACGACAGAAGCTCTGTGTTCTCCTCGCGATCATCCTCGCGGGGACAAACGCCGTGACGACGAAGAATTCTAGTTCGATGAGCCGTACACTTCTCGAGATTTTTCGCATTTAATATTCGCACCGAGTGCTTCAACACGCGTTGTGCATGCGTCTTTGAAATGCCACATGCAGCACGTTTAAACTTGGCCCGCACCTGCAGATATATTAAATAATATCCAACGAATAAATATACCAATGAAGAAATGGCGTGATATCGTATTCAAAATTGCTCCATCTCAATTAAATACTAAGATTTAATGGGAAAAATTTCTTCGAACAAAATAGGATTTTAGTTATTTTTTTAATTCGGGAAAACACTTCGAAGAGGTATTAACGAAATAGAGGAATAAACATAATTCGCTGACTGGGATGTTTTTCCGCATTGTCCGAATCCGAATTTCCCCAGGAATGCGCTTTCTCCAACGCCTCTCTTCTGCATCTCGAATCAGTTCTATTGACTCGAATTGTTTCTGCTGGTTGTTACCTTCGTAAAAATGCTGCTACCGTGCCATGCGTAATTGAGATGAAGGGCCACCTTCCTCCGTTGTAGATTAAATTACGTAAAATCGTAGCGCAAACTGTCTCTCCGACCCTTCTCGGATTTCGTCTTTCGAGGAGACGGAGAAGAAAAGAAGCGCAGAGACGAATTACGGTTAAAATTAATCAATGTCGAAGGAGTCGAGCCTAAATCAACAAGTGCAGTATCGTCATGGACTGTGCATACCGCACGGAACAAAGCGTACAAACCGAATCTTCTTACTCGCCAGAGCTTGTTGAAAAAACAAAGAATTGAATTGTACACAGAAAAAGATTATTGTACTGCGAAAAAAGCAATTGTTCATTTTATTTTTCTTCTTTCTTATAAATAATGGTTCTCTTGAACGAAGAATATATTTTTTTCTTGATAATAGTATTAAAGTATACTTATCACAAGTATTAGAGAAGCTCATTATCATTTGCCCGAAAGAATAATTTTCTCTCTTCTCGAGAATATTATAAATTTTATCAAAGAAAAGATAAAATCGGTTAATTGGAATAAGTAAGCCAAAGTTTCGGATTTAGGTCAGTATTCATAGTCGGCTTTTATATATAAGACAGTCTTAAGTTCATCTTGATATTGCACGGCTCATTTCATTGGCTACGAAGCATCTGAGGATGAACTAAGACGGTCTTAAATATCAGATTTGACCATGAATACTGATCTCAGTGTTTTAATTTAATATTCTTGATTGAATTATATTGAAACTTACTAGAATTTAGAATATATTTTGAATAAATTTGCTGAACTTCTGAGACATATTTGCGAACATATAAACTTACGAAATACTTGAAACAAGCAATCAATATTTTCTCGAATGCAGTATGCGTATTTTTCTGTGTGTAAGAATGAAAATTAATAGCTGCATTGCGCGTGGTGTGGGATGCTAGCTTGCCACGTGTCCTCTACGAAAAGAATGAATGCGCGTTAAAAGAAGGAGTTTATTTGTTGAATTTGCTCAGCTCGCAAAGGGTTGATTCGCAGGCTTAATCCTGATACCGTATCTTGTGCCCGCAGAGCCCCGTGCCTTCCGGCGCGATCACCGACGGCAAGAACGGCCTGCCAGCCTCGGACGAGAACCTGAACCAGGAATGCTAGGTCACGAAAAGTCGGCCGATAGACCCGCTTTACTATACCATTTGCATATGATTAATCACGTTTACCTATCACCCCCCCACCCCCCATCCCCCGGAGGACAAATGAGCGCGATCGAGAGCGATATACCGTTGAGACAGACGGCGCACGGAATTCCTCGAGTGAGAAGAACAAAAAAAAAAGAAGAAAAAAAGAAGCAAAAAAGAGAAAGAGATAGAAAGGAAACGTAAGGAGCATTACGATCGATATCGTGCCGCGAATGGGACGAGCGTTTGCGCGACGGGCGAACTTAAATCAACGAACGAGGCAATATACGTTATCGCACTGATTTGTCGTTGAGTATCGAAAACCGCGAAAAAAACTCCGAGTAACTCCATCCCGCATTTTCACAGCGATCCTTTTCGGTTACCCTTAAAGAAACGAAGCGATCACGTCATCGTGCCGTATGCGAAAAAGACACCCTCGAGACACGTAATCATACGCCGAGAGAAGGAGCAAGGACTGAGAAAAATATTTCATTTTTTATCAATATACAGCAAAGTAAACGAAAGGGAAGATGACGATGATGATGTTTTGAGACACGACACTTTCACGCTCATGGAAGTTCCTTTTTGAGCGATGACTTTTTTATCGGAAGCCACATTCCTCTGTGTCGCAGCTGTCTGTCCTTGCGATCTTTTGAATCATTGTGTGTCGACGCCCTCGCCTACGTAAACACACATGTTTCCGAGTTATCGATTTTTGATACGTATTTGTGCCATAATCTCGACGTCGTCGCGGCGTATCGCGAGCCACGATCATCCGCGCCACGCGCCGCTTCGTGGAGCACGCGTCCATTCGCAACGATACGTTTAATCTATTGCAATGTATCACGCATAGTGTGCGGCATAATCGCTTGAGAAGTTCAATCGATACGCGCGTAAAGGTAGCGAACATCATAGACCGATCTCTAAGACGAAGAAAATAGGTCCCCGGATTCTCGGAAATATAATTTCGAACCTTCTCTATACTTTTCTCCGTTTCGCGAAGAACGAGTATGTGTGTGTGTGTGTGTGTGTCATCTTCCACATTCGTCATTTGATTTTCGGTGACAAATTTCACTCGGTATCGCTGACCGTAAGTACCTGGTTCGGCAGACCACGCGAGTCCAATAGCCTCATTAATGAACATTAATGAACGTGTTGCGTTGTTAGACTCTTTAGTCACTTTCGTAGACGCATTTGCGAGAAATTCTAACGAGAATCCATTGCGATCGTACAGCACACACCCATGCGTCGTTGAAGCGTGTGAAAAGGGAGAACAAGAGAGATCGAGAAAGAACGAGGCAAGGAGAGAGAGAGGGAGAGAGAGAGAGAGAGAAATCCATCACGTGCAAAACGTCCTCTCAGGGGAGAACAAATAGACGTTAGATGAACGCGAAGCGCGCGTATATTAATTTGCGTGCGATGAAGTCTCTCTCGACAGCCCCCAAAAACGCGTCGTGCGTTACGTTGCATTTCTTCATTGTCGCGATTTCAGCGTCGTCTCGACCTCAACGTTTCGGACCGTCGGAAATCGCGAGCGGATTGCGCGAGCATAAGAGGAATCAGGAAAGAATCACACTCACGGTAGCACAAAGGTGCAAAGTAGTTAACCCGTTCGCGTATCAAATAGTCCTCGTACGACGTGGTCCGTCCGACGCGATCGCGCGAATGTGCGTCGGATTTCCGGAGGAAAGCGAGCTAACTGCGGAGAAGCGAGAGCCGAGAGAGAGAAAAAGAGAGAGATCTCGATTGACATGGAAAGATTGTTCAGGCAGGCAGCAACCGCCGCCAGTTGCACCAATTCGTCGATTGTAACTCATTACGGATTGACAACTTAGTTATTCGCTCTGTCCACCATTGCAACCGCGGTCACGATTGCAAAGAGGCTCGCGAAAAATCGCCGAGAGTCGCGCGGATTGTCGGCAATATGCCACCGGTGGTTACATCGGTGCAGCGGGACAACGGGGAGTGGTGTTTAGAATTCGGAAGGAGATGAGAAATGCCAGAGAAACCGGGGGAAAAAGAGAGAGAGAGAGAGAGAGAGAAAGAAAGAGAGAGCGGGTGAACTCGCGGCGACGACGACGCGAGAGACACCCTCGTCGGCCGCGACAGGGCTGATTTCAGACACGACAGGATATACATAAGAGATATTCGTGTGAACGTGTTACATTGTAGATACGTCGTAACAACCGATCGCTATTCGTTGCGTCCCACGACGTACGTACGTGTGGTACCGCTCACAGAAAGGCTCCGACACTCTTTTGCCGAGGAGTTTCGCAACGCGTCTCGTATCCAATAGGAAAACGTATCTTCTGAGAATTACTGAAAAACAGATTCTCCTACTGGACACAAGATTCATTGTGATGTTTATAAAAAAAAAAAACAATGTGATGTGCAATCTTTCTGTGATTGACCACATGCTTACACATATATGGGGCGCATCGCCGCTCGCTGCTGCAAAGACGCATCGAAAACGACGTGGCGAGAGTTTGTTAACGGAAAGGAGAGATCGATGATGCTGATGATGATAATGCTAATGATGATAATAATGATAACGTTGATGATGATGATGGAGGAGGAGGAAGAGGAGAATGTTCGGATCGTGCGACCACGCCAAAAAAATAAAAGGAAAAAGTCTCTCACTTACGTCACACTACCTTAGGTACCTCGTGCAATTTACACGTCGCTAGAGAAAGATATGTAACAACACATTATTTACACTGTATTGCTTCCACAATGGATTATTAAGGTACTTTTGATTCAACTTAACATTGCGATATCTCACGGAAACAGAAATGATAATTAACGTTAGACCCTTGTAATTGTCACAAGTTACCACTTCGTACGAGCGCAATAGTGTAACTACTATCCAGCGTATTCTCCTAAGGATCGCCGGAGAGGCATTATAATAATATTTTTGTTTTTAAATTTACATTGGTTCTCTTTTTTTTTTTATCTCCGAACACGACCCCCAGCGCATCCTTGCCCAGTTTCCTCGCCGAGGGAAAAATAATTGCGTCAGTCTTTTATCACTGGAGAAATATACTCGCAACGTAAGCAATCTCTTGACTCAAACGTCATTTTTTTAAAATAGTATATACATCTATAAAAAAAAAACAATCCTTATTACGCGATTGGTAACATCCAGGAGCGAAATTTCACGATTTCCCAGTCCGACCCATTTTTCTGAATAATTCGTAGCTCTGCAATAAGAGATACTCTCGCGAAAGATAAGCGAATTAAAAGGTACCGATGGGTTATTAAAATTACTATTTATGAAATCACATACTTGCAAAATCGAGCGTAACCGGATACTTTAATTAGACTGAAGAACTATTCAAGTGAATATCTTTTCTTTTCAAGTTTCCGCGTAATGAATTCAGGCATAATCGCCGTTTGGCTCCGAAGATTAGGAAATCCAATTTTGCGAGAGTAAAGACCTGTCAGTGTCTTGAAATTCGGCCGCTTCGTGCAAGATTCATATCACGCATATTATGAGACTTAACGTAGACATAGTCCTAAAACTAATCCCCGCTGCAGTTTGGCACGAACGGTACTGGCAAACACGAGCCCCCTCCTCAGTCCCCTCCTTAACGATGTAATTAGACAAAAATCGCCACCTTAAGGGTAATAATATATACGCACGGCGTGTGTCTCACTTTCATTCGTGCAATTCACGTCGGTCCTCAAAAAAGCATCGCCACCGCCTGCCACAAGTCAAGGTCAGTCTCTGCACACGCTACTTAATTCCTCAAAGTAACAAGGGGTGCATCCAGTAATGCTCATTAAACACACGGCGGGCATAGAGCCCCTCGAGTCAAAGTCCGGACGACTCTTTAATCAAAAATAGTATCTAATTTGTCATTAGAATGTCTCTATCTATATGAAGAGTACAATATCTACAATATATCGAGACATATTTTTTTAGGGACACACATATATGATTTGTGTTATGTATAATATCTTTTATATAAAAATTAGAGATTTTTTAATTTCTTAACAATTAATTCCTCCCATTATTTTATTATTATTTATCTCCTATCTTAAAATAATATTCGGTTACAGACAGAGCGCGTTTATTTGACAATCCTCAGTTCCATCATTTTTCATCAAATAAGAACTAATCTACTACTAATCAGTAAAAAGTCGGGGATGTCCAGAATCTTAGGCCGAGTCTACAATAAGTGTGAACTAAGCCTTTATAGGCCAAGTTCGTCTTGCACGTTTTCGTGCTGAAAGCGTCGTTCTATCCTTACTTTTCATTACATGTTGAGGGAAGATAGAACGATGCTTTTAGCACGAAAGCGTGCAAGACGAACTTAGCCTTTTGCTCTAAGCAATATAATATAACGTAATTTTTGACAAAGGGCGTTTCTCGCGTTGCCAAAAGTCGTAATAACGCTTAAATTTTAAGAATTGCGACATGTGATAGCACTGGAAACGCTTTTTGCTAGAAATTACGTTAGAATGTAGTGTTTAGAGCTAAAAGCTCACCAACATCTATTGTAGACCTGGCTTTACTTGAGGGAGTCTAAGCGGGCATTACTGGATGCGTCCTCACAGCATCCGCTCGCCATATTCCGCAGTGGAAGGTAATCGAAGTGAATTATCACCGCGTTTTCAGGCTCAGACGCCGGTGGAGGACAATCGCCCGTCGCAGAACGACTCGAAGGCCAACGACACCGAGATGCCGCAGCCGCCACCCTCTACGCCAACCCGCGTCCGCCACGTCACGTCACCCTCGTCCGTCGTGACACCCCGAGCGGTCAGGAACGGATTGGCCAAATCTCCGGACGCCAGCACGCCCAGGAGGCAACTTGTGCAAGAGACGGAGGGTGGTCTGAACGTAGCGGACGAACGGAGCGCATCTAAAACACCCTCGCCGGATGCGACGGAGGGTGGAAGCGCAGCGAAGAGTCGCTCGCCGAGGTCGCCACGACCGCCGAGCAGTCTGCGTGTCAAGTCCGCCAGTGATAGATCCTCACCTCGAATGAGCCCGAGCACCCCGAGCAAAACATCCCCAGGCACGCCGAGGAAAACGTCCCCCAGGGAGTTGCGTCTTCCGAAGCTCGCGTCCTCGCCGACACCGCAGGAAGCGAGCCCGGCACCCGAGAGTCACTCGAAAATCACTTTACCCAAACTGATCGAGCCATCCTCGCAAGCCGCCCGGATGGCATACTGAAGCTGTCGAATCCGACAACAGGCTTTGTAGCGCTTGGCACGTAGGCGCTTCCGGTCGTGTGCACTTCTTCTCGCGCGGGAAGAAACTTTAGTCGAATTCACGTGACCATAAACAAAGCGAACGCGTTTTGGCGGGAGGAAACAGAATTTCTGGCTCTTACAAACTAAATTTGATTCTCTACAACCAGAAATAGTTTTTCCCCTAATCGAAATGCGTCTGTTCATGGTCAGGTAAATTCGACCAAACTTTTCTCCCGTGAACATTCACGATTTCTGTGACCAGTTTGCAGTCGATCGTCCCTTAATGAAAATTTACTTGGACGTTTGCCACAATTTCGGGACACGTACGATTTCTGATACCTTTATATGTCACAAATCTCGAGTTAAAATAGTTATAAAATAGTAAAATAGTTTATCTGAGATTAAATGAAGAATAAGGTATCGTTATCTACTGATACACTTTTGTGTACATTAATTTACAAAAGTCGAAATTTTATAGATCTTTTGTGAATTGAGAGAAACTCGATGTCTCGATATTTTTATTAAGGGGCAATTTACTCCACATTAATTCAAGAACTAGCACGTGAGAGAAAGTGCGCGACCTTTGTGTGAAGCACATTGTATAGTCAACGGCTGAAAGGTAGCAATACGTTTGGTTTCGATGCGTTTTAAAACACAGATGAAAATCGTCAGAGTGATTAAACGATTTGCATCCGTTTTGGAACTCGTCGAATTGAGAAGTGTTGCAACCTCTTTGCCGCTGACTATATGTCTCATGAAGAAAACGCAAAATTAACAATAATTTAGAAAAAACAACGGTAGAAAGATTGACAAATCACACACGCTATAGTAAATATGTCTTCTTTTTATTAACGTGCATAGTCCCGTGCAGAATTGAGCAAAGATCGACTGATGAATCGATTCTTTTGTTAAAAGATGAATTACGTCACTTGTCGATGATTTTTCCAATTTTATGATTTCTATCAATAACTTTTTTTTCAATTTGATTCTATTTTTTAGCAATATAATTCATCCTCGGGTCAAAAGTTAAAAATACTTAAAAAAAACTTAAAAAGATAACACATCGCCTATATTCCTAATTCCAGTAAAGATAAACTTTTCTATTATAAAACTAACCTCTCAGTCGCAAACAAAGAATATAATTCGACTAAGAAATAGGCTGAAGATTTGAGACGAGATGGAATAGGGGCTTGATCTTTTTTCGCAAGTCCTACTTTTCCAACTAAATCGTGTAATTTCCAACCCCGTATCTTCCTCTATATGGAAGATTGACTCCTAACGGGTGTCGGAAACAAAAGTACCGTTTGGCATCAAAAGATGATAATGAATTGTTAACGATATTAACTCGATGTTATGAGTAGTTTCAATATTCTTTACTCCGTCCTTTGCAGCCGTCTATAAAAAAAAAAAAATTGATCAAAACTAGATTTTTTACAAGGCGTTTTTAACTCTCATTATTTAACGTCCGAGCACCGTTGTCAAAAGTAAATATAAGATACACAATAATATTTGAAACATGATAACATATACACATATTCGTACGTTACAGTGTAACGATAAATGAATGGTAAATTGAAAGAGGATACGGGAAATAATGAAAAATTGCAAATAATAAGATATATAGAAATAAAAAAAAAATATATATATATATATATATATATATATTTGGATATGTATATTAGATAATATAACGTTGTAGTATAAATGAACACACTTTCACTAGTCTAGTATTAGCTCTTTTTCTGGAAGTATTTTACGTTTTTGAGTTTTATTTCAGCGCGTTTCATTTCAGTTTTATTTAAAAACCTATAGAAAAGAAAAAAAATATATATGTACACCGGTCAGCCATAAATCTACGGTCAGTTTCTCTTTGGCAGTGGTGGTGGAACTAATTTAACCCCCTTAAAGTAAGGATGAGTCATTCCTTTCTTTGCGGTTATCCTCTGATTAGGATCGTACGTCAGCAGTTTCTAGAAACACAGAAGAGAATCCATGAAAACGTGAACGCCGACGACGTCGCGAACAAGTACACATTAGTATCTCTCTCTCTCTCTCTCTCTCTCTCTCTCTCTCTCTCTCTCTTTTTTTCTTCCTTCGTCCTTACCGAAAGTAAATCTTTGGCGTCGTCGTCGAAAGACGATATAACTTGGCCCACTTCGGTCCCTTCCCATTTCGGAAATCTGGATGTGTAGTCTGGCAGCTGCGAGACCCCGGGCCAGATTGTTTCGTCCGGTGTGCCAAGTATGCGAAATATCCTGAACAACTGATCGATCTCGGAGTCACCGGGAAACAGGGCCCTCCTGTTGGCCTATAAAGACGATGCTAGAGAATTATCTTCAACAACGTGCTCGTGGGCGCTCAGATGAATGTCTGTAGCAAAGACTCTACCTTGCGGGAGCCTCGATATTTCGTTATTACGATGGATTCGCGCGGCGATGATTATCGCGACGATTCACGTACCATTTCCGCAAATATACAGCCAAGGCTCCATATGTCCAGTGCGCAGGTGTACAATTTGGTTCCCAGAAGTACTTCCGGCGCGCGATACCAAAGCGTTACGACCTCGTGCGTATATGTGCGCACGGGCACGCCGATCATTCTTGCTAAGCCGAAGTCGGCCAGTTTGATGTAACCATCGCGATCTATCAACAGGTTCTGCGGCTTTAAGTCTCTGTGCAATATACAACGGAGATGACAGAAGGAAATCGCCTTCAGCAACTGGTGGAGGTAGCTCTGTAACAATGAAGCGTCTCACCTTAAGACGCGTGCACTATTATCGCGTCGGTCGTGCGCGAAATGAAACCGTGATATCTGATACCTTCACGAGCGCCTCGTCTAGACCCACTTTGACGGAGTCGAGCAACTTTTTCAGATCCTGCTGCAGAAATTCAAACACAAGGTACAGATGCTTGTCGCCATCTACGACGTCGTACAATTGTATGATGTTTGGATGAGCGAGGTCTTTCAACAAGGATATCTCTCGAATGGCGGTGGAAGGAACGCCTTCCCTTTCCCTGGTTCAAAGCAACGTTATTATTTAAAGGAAGATGCGTAATATTGTATCTCGTCAGTGTGCTAAATAATCCGCTAATTAACACTGCGCTAATGAGTCTCCTTCTACTCAGTACAGAAGAGAGTTCATCTTCTCTTTTCTCTCTTCTTTTTTTTTTTTAATAATTCGTCGGATGTTTCAGACTCAACAAAAATTGTTCGTTTTTACAAGTTTCTTACACACATATACACGGGTGACTCAGAACATCGAAATTACATCAGTGAGAGACAAATACGCAAGCACAACTCTGTTAATTCCGGTGTCCAAGAAGAAATGCTATCTCCGATGAAAAAAAAAAGTTAGATGTTGCAATTGATATCGATTATGCAGTAGACATATTACACGAGTTCTTATCCCAAAAATAATCCTAATAAGTCTTGTCTTATTAAAAAAAAAAAACGAATAATTACACAGTGTATTAAATGAAACAAAAATACCAAATCAAAAACCAGGCGAGCATGGCATAATGGGACAAGCTGAATAATGTGGTGCTACGAAAATTAGTGTAACGTGGCCCCCGCAGATTCAGCTGACCCCAATATGCGGGTTGTTAGCAGTGTGTTAGCAGTGTGCACAAAGCAAAAGCCCAGTTGACATTGCAGTTCTGCAAACTGATAATTTTCAACATATACATGTAGAAACATAAGGGCCGAATTCGGTTTTGTGAGGTCAATTAAGAGAGCATACATCTTATCCGGATATTATTCAGACTAGTCTAGTTGCCAGTGAATTTATAAGGGCATGTTCTTAAAAATGTAGAATCTCTTGGTTTCACTTGATTCAAGCATAATTTATAGCCCATGGAAGAGGACACAATGACAAAGGTATGTTTTTAAATTAGCAATTGTGATTTCTCATTGCGATATTCCAAGTGCCTATAGACAATTTCCTCACAGTAAGTGTTTTTTGTATACATATTGTTTGTCAGTAGAGAATATATAGAGTATTTTATAGAAATGTTATTTATATCAAGCATCCAAAGGAAACAAAAATTAATGGTAGCGATGGAAATCACTTTCCACACGCTAGATTAATAAAAGCTTGATGATTATATGTTACATGGGTCTGCATAAAAATAAATCAAAGAATGTTGTAAGAAGAAATCTGTACTTTCCTCCAAAAAGCAATTAGTTTAACTAAAAGGAGTTAGTAATATTATTTATGTATTTATTGTACTAAAGATGTGAGAGGAAAGAGTACTCTTTTTACATATATATAAGAGCAATCCTTGTGTGTTCACATCTAGCTTATCTTGACTTTAACATGTACTTTACATAATCAGTGGAATCAACAACAAAGGAATCAAGGATAGCAAACTCCTCGAAATACAAGGACGGTCAACCGAAGAAACGACAATTTCTTGCCGATACTTATTTACATCATTTTCCACATCCAAATACTTATCAAGTTAAAATATCAAACATTCGCTCAAATGATCGCATACAGACATATCCTTTAGATACTTATGGATGAGGGACGCCTGACTCACGTTATTATAAACAATTTCTATTGACATTTTGAACGACCCAAACATGTGTACGAACAAAGTAGCGTCTGACGTTAGACCTTATTCACTCACGAGGAACGAATAATATTTTGCTAATGTGCTCTTATGGGTGCAAATTGGCGTACGCGAGATACACGCTGGCACATGACGAGTATGAGACACTCGCAAAGGCATTCTATTACGCACAATGTAAACGCACATTGTTATTCGCCCAACGCTAGTGGTCTTAACGTGAGGTAAGGGCGCGCGAGATGACAGGTGCGACTTTTGCCAAGTTACATACGTCTCCAGGCGAATCTTCTTGAGCGCCACCAATTTCCCGGTTAACTTGTCCTTGGCCTTGTACACCACCCCGTAGGTACCCTCCCCTATCTTCTCGATTTTCACGAAGTTATCCATAACCTCAACGGTGCCCTCGCCATGAGCCAGTAGACGTTGCCTCTCGGCCACCGCCACTGCGCCTTCTCTCGCCGATTCCGTGATTGACGCCGTCGTTGTTCCTGTATATCGCGGAGGACACGAAAGGAACCTCACGCCAGCCAAACACCTCCTACGCAGGTACCGAGCTTGTTTATCAACACCGCGGAACTACGACTTTCGGACAACGGTGCGCCGTGCGGCGTGCCGTAACGGCCATCTTTCTTTAGAGGGGATGAAAGGAATCGATAGTGTGAATCGATGGCCGTCCCGAGATCGATCGTTGTTACGTGCACGGTATTACGTAAGCGAGCGGGTGAACGAACTCTCCGCTTCGGTTGTTCGCATAAATTGCAGCGTTTCTGTTATCACGCGAGATCGCGCACGTCGGCTCGCGATCGATCGCGAAAAACCAGTTATCGCGACTTCGCGACTTCGGCGGAATTTCTGCTGACGCGTCGAAACCGAGAGATGTATCGCGCGAATACGAAAGAGACGCTCACTCGCAATTTTTTCTTTTTTCAAGTAAGACGAGAGACTGATTCATCGTTTGTTTATTTATTTATCACAATCATTATATACGTGAAGAGCTCTGACGACTGACTCAGCTGCTCGATTGCTTAGTCTGTTTGACACAGTTTGTCGACGTCGCGCATAAACAGTGCGTCTACAATCGACTACAATCTTTTTTTTTTCTTTTCTTCTGCTTCCTTTTAACTTTGCACCCGACATAGGCTATGGGCTTTAGTAGAATGGCTGACTTATCGATTTAAGACAATGTTTTATGCCTTGAGTCTTCGAGTAACGCACGACTATCTTGTGCCTTAAATTAAAAAAAGACATTCTATTTGCGATCGATGACGAAACGTTGTATAGGAGAAAAGTAAGCAAACGATAACTTAGATCAAAATTTAGGGCACAAAGCATTGTTTAAAAATGATAAGTCAATCGTTCTGCCTAGAAGCCGTATCTTTCATAGGATTATACGAATATCGAAGGTGCGCGGGTACTCGAGAATCGATTTATCTCGAACCGTGTAAGGTAGAACGGCGCGATCCTTCGAGCTCTCGCGCATCTTCGGAGGATACATGTAGAATCGATACAATTCGATGTGCGTCAGGACATTAAATCGAGTGTAATTCGTATATCACATCCGTGCCACCACAAATATGAGCGGATTCTTCACCCAACCGACGTCCTCACAACAGCAGACGGCTCGCTACTGCCCGAAGCAGCACGACGGCGGCGATCGATGCGCCTGAAAGATTGCGACTATCGCGTGCGAAACATAAACTCGCTCGAACGTGCGGCGTGCACGCCTAAGAAAATGGGAAATTCAGCTCGTCGTGACCCCGACAACGCGGATATCGGTGCCGCGATGACACGAGAGCAGTCTGCAGCTTGATTCAAGACTGTGAAGCAAGACCTATTCGTTCCCGTATCTGTAATATTTGTAATAGAATCTAAGGTCCATATTCTGAATTGATCTTTATCGATGAAAGTACCTTAAATGTGGCTTCTCAGGTGGCTTCTAAGCCACTTTTAGAAGCACATGGACTTACTTAATTGACTAGAATCGGTACTACAAGCTCCGATATATTGTGTGGAATAATAACGAGTAAAAACTATCGCAATGACTTTGATATTC